GAGGCAAGTGAGCGTAGCGAACGAGCTAACCTGAAGGCAAGTGAGCGCAGCGAACGAGCTCCAACCTAAAGGTGAGTGAGCGTAGCGAACGAACTTCAACCAGGACGTGATTGAGCCATGCGAACGAGATCATCTTGAAAATTAAGAAGTTAAACGGGGCAAAGCCCGCGGGATTATAAATAGTCAAAGGCAAGACAACGTCTGCCGGGTTCAGCTAGTAGTTATATAGAACAATATTACATTCAACCAGCTGTTAGTTAAAACAAATTATATGGGACTAAAACAAATCAATGAGAACAAAGATTCCTTTAAAAAATCATTTGGACATCCTACTATTTTACTATGCATATTTAATTAATCTGCCATCCTCATACCTAAGAATTGAATGTATCAATGGTCAGCATTACACATAGTATAAATAGGTCAACTCTAAATATGTCTTTAAATTTGTTTCCAAATGCTGAATTTGTGTCACAAATGCTGAATGTTTACAGCTGTTATGTTAAGCAAATTATATTGTACTAAAAGCTAGCTTAAGAAGGTTAGCGTCGGCTGCTAGACTTTTTAAAAATTAAAACTTAATTTCTAAAAAACTGGGACCCTTAATTATAATTATGGCTTTGACATTCCCTTGTTCTCAAAATTATCTTTCTTTCAACACAAAAATAATGAAAATCCGTCGACTGGTTGATTCAGAATGTGAAAAAACCCCATTTACGTTTTAATAATATATATGATAGTTTGGATAGGTTTGAACCCTTCCGAGGCGTAATACATTTACACAGTTGATGTGTAGACTACATTATAACTCATAAAATAGTTCTAAAATTAAATGGGTCTCCTTTTACAAACGTATATAATAACCAGAAATTTTCAGATCGTCCTTGCGTGTATTTCATGCCACAAATTTTGACGAAAGGCTTTTAATTACATAAACTATACCTATTTACAGTGTTGACCAAACAGTTGGCAAGAAGCATTAATAGATAAGCTATGTACCAAATATGATAATTTTAGCTCTATTCTAATTATGACAAAACACGAAGTAACTAAAAGCGAGTTTTGTTGGTGTAGTAAGCGTTGCAGGAGGTCTACTTTACACTGAATCGACGTTCACTTTTATTGCTTTTGATCTTCCGGCACTGTTGACTCAGCGAAACTGAACTTGTATTTTACCGTATTTCGTTATATTAAAACTGCTGTTGCATTAGGTCAAATTCCCAATAAGTCAATTGCTTTAACATAGACCACGTTTTTAGCTCGGACTGTATTATTTGACTTACTGGGACTTTTGATCTACAGACACTGCAAACATTGTAGTTTTTGACCTAGCGGCACAGGTATAAATTATTTGATCTTCCGGGACTGTTGACTTCCAGCAACATTCCCTCCAAATTTATAGTTGTAACAAAATACTAAATTAGAGATCGTATCTATACTCTAAAACAAGCAGGGTGTGCAGGCAAACTTTTTCTTTCGTCCGAGGATTTTGGTATTTTTTTAGTAATATGGGGTATTTGGCCACAAAAAATCAATTGGAAATGGTCATAAGACTGGGAAATTAGTTTCCATCCTACAGCCCTTAAAAGTGCCCATGTTATCGTTATCATCAATACTACTGGTGCGCGGTTTGAAAGTTCCAAACCATGGTTAGTACTAATGAAAGTTGTTATTAGTTTTAAGAAGGCACAAACTTGACCAAGAGACCGTTTTTGTTTAAGATTATAAATTGTTATCAGTTTGCTTTATTTCTGTTATCTGCATTTGAGGGAACCTCCAAACAGGCTTTGCTTTGGAGGCCCTAGATTTTCTCCAGTAAAGTTATTGATCTTATTTGTTTGAATTACAATAGTAAAAATAACAAAACCAAGTAAGTTAGTGTATTTTATGTAATTTTTAGTTATGTTTTATATATTCAGTATCACATTGTAAAGTGATGGACTTTATTTTTATTATATTTTTTTGTTAAAATGGAACTAGATATACAGGGTGTTCATTTGAAAACTTTCCATATCTGCTGTGTACAAAGGTAAGGCTTTTAACACTTGTTTGATCTCAATTCCCCCTAATTTGGACATGCCAAATCCAATAAAATTATTTTCAATTTTGAAAAATGCCCCGAAAGGGCCCATTTTGGGGGGTAGGGGTGCTTTTTGAGAAATTTTCAAATGTAAACATAGGTTGTGTGATACATCAATTCAAAGGTCTAATTACCCCGATCAGTTTAGTGCAAGAAAAAGTTAATTATCTTTAACCGTATTTACAGGGTGGGTCAAAACGTTTTAAAAAACAACTTTGAAGTTAAGTACCGTATTACCCTAACTACTGAACGGGACAGCACCAAATTTTTTTCCAAGCTTATTGTTGAGCTACTCTTTAAGATAAATTGTGTTGAGAGCAATTTCCGAGTTGTTTTCCATTTTTTAAAAAATCTTAAATTTCAAGAATAAAAGAAAGCTGAAAACACAAAATTCTTAAATAGCAAGGTATAACAATTGTTGTATCACGTGAAAGGTCTTTTTTAAACAAACATTTTTTGTATTTAAGTTTTCTTTCTATCTCTTTCCGTTGCAAAATGGCAGATGAAAAACGTAATTTTGTATGTTAAAACTAATTAGAAAACAACTAAAACTTTATCTCTAAACACTTTTGCTCCTGCATTGACTGAAGGAAACAATCAATAATCATGGGCAACAGATAGGCAAACAAGTTAAATCACGTTTTGCTTTAAACCAAGAAAGGCTGTCTAATAGCTGATAAAAAAATCCCAAACATGAGGCCGCTTTCTCTAGTACTGTTCATGTTGGCATAGTTGAGGACTTTTTTTAATTATTGTTGTTTCCCAGTAACTGAAAATGGTGTACACTTTACAAGAAAGAATAGACATTATTTTTATTTATGGGGCAGAACATAAGTGTTCCAGGAGAACTGCAAATGTATTTAACAATAAATACCCAGGTAAGAACTTAAGTCATACAGCTGTCAATGATTTGGTTAGAAAGTTTTCTGAAACTGGTTCAGTTATTAATAAGACAAGAACAGAAAGAAGGGTCCTTAATGAACTGACACAAGTAGAAGTAGTTGGTCAATTTGTGATGAATCCCACTACATCATTGCGCAAAGTGCAACGTCAGACTGGAATTTCTCTGGGTTCAGTTCATAAAGTCATGACTCTAAACAAGTTCCATCCATACAAAATACATGTAAACCAGGAGCTATCTGAGGATGACTATGACAGACGTGTACAATTTTGTGAGATAATGAGTGACCTAATCAATGAGAACCCTGACCTAACAAAAAACGTATGTTTCAGTGACGAGTGCACATTTTATCTAAATGGATTGGTTAACAGACATAATTGCAGGTATTGGTCAAACGAAAACCCCCACTTATTTGTTGAAGGCCATACTCAACGACCTCAAAAAATTAATGTTTGGGCCGGAATATTAGGTAGTGAGGTGGTTGGTCCCTTCTTTTTTGAGGAAAACTTGACTGGTGAGGCTTACTTAAACATGTTGGAAAATATTATTAATCCTACAATCATAGAAATAGCACAAAACCAGCGTAATGGAGAAGAGCTGAATCTATACCCAAATAACATTTACTACCAGCAAGATGGTGCTCCTCCACATTACACGATAGCTGTTCGACAGTGGCTTTACCAACATTTCCACAACAATGGATAGGTAGAAGGGGGCCAATAGAGTGGCCAGCTAGGTCTCCTGACCTCAACCCATTGGATTTTTTTTATGGGGACACATAAAATCCATAGTTTATAAAACGCCCCCTCAAGATGTTCAAGAGTTGAGGCATCGAATCACAACTGAGTGCAGGGCTATCACAGCGAACACGTTAAGAAAAGTTAGGGAAGAATTTTGTAACAGACTTTATTTTTGTTTGGAGAAAAACGGCCAGCATTTCGAACATCTCCTTTGAGTTCAAAATTAAGGTAAGAAGATTTCAAGTGTTATTTTTTAAATTTTATTTTGAGAAACATGTAAATTAATTAAATAACAAATGTTACATTTTTTTAACTGAGGTATAAAATACAATTTTTCAACTGTCAATTTGCAACGGAAAGAGATAGAAAGAAAACTTAAATACAAAAAATGTTTGTTTAAAAAAGACCTTTCACGTGATACAACAATTGTTATACCTTGCTATTTAAGAATTTTGTGTTTTCAGCTTTCTTTTATTCTTGAAATTTAAGATTTTTTTTTAAATGGAAAACAACTCGGAAATTGCTCTCAACACAATTTATCTTAAAGAGTAGCTCAACATTAAGCTTGGAAAAAAATTTGGTGCTGTCCCGTTCAGTAGTTAGGGTAATACGGTACTTAACTTCAAAGTTGTTTTTTAAAACGTTTTGACCCACCCTGTAAATACGGTTAAAGATAATTAACTTTTTCTTGCACTAAACTGATCGGGGTAATTAGACCTTTAAATTGATGTATCACACAACCTATGTTTACATTTGAAAATTTCTCAAAAAGCACCCCTACCCCCCAAAATGGGCCCTTTTGGGGCATTTTTCAAAATTGAAAATAATTTTATTGGATTTGGCATGTCCAAATTAGGGGGAATTGAGATCAAACAAGTGTTAAAAGCCTTACCTTTGTACACAGCAGATATGGAAAGTTTTCAAATGAACACCCTGTATATATTTTGTTGTTGTTGTTGATGTAATACACTGTCAGTGACTATTGTAAATATTGTTATATTTTTTGGAGAAAATAAAATATTCTTATTCTTATTTTTAATCTTAATACTTTTTTGTAGCTGAAGATAAGAAACAGCTGATACATGTTGCATGTTGTTGTTCACAATTTGCAAATGTGTGCAATATGATATGTGTGTTTCTAACTAACGTTATGTGCTTAATCTGTACCATTAATATCAGAGAGTAAAGTGGTGCATGGATTTCATAACCATTATTTGCCTAGAGGCCGGAATATTAAACCACAAGTGGCTTTGCTGCTAGTAAATAAACATAGTCTTACTTCTCAAGTTTTTTATCCACTTCTGCGTGGCAGATTTTCTTTCTTCTAGTGTGACATGGCCAGTATGTGTGACATCACGACGTATCATTGTGCAATTTTCTGGCACTAATATTATTTTCAAATTTCCAGCCTGGGAATAAGAAAAAAGATTTAAGACCAATGTTTCCTTGCACACATTATTAATATACAAATGTATTTAACTATTAAATGATATAACACACCAAATTACATTGATACACATCAACATATTCTATAGCATAACCATAAATGTTCACTAATCATGTTTGCTGTTTGGCTTACTTGAATGGGAAAGCTTTAAAATTGAAAAGCAAGCCAAGTGGCTAGCTCTAGCAGCTAATAAAGTAGGCTAATGGACCACAAAAGATAACACTGATTTTGTTTCTTAATTTAACCCTTCCAGGACTATATACCCGCAGGTGGATATATCTGCTAGCATTTTGTTCATTAATAGTTGATTGTCTATAGTATCATTAAACTTTGTAAAAACGTCCATTTATTCAATTATATATTTAACCGATTTACACTAGGAATGTGTAGTGTATACAATAATGTGTACTCATCCAGGGGCGGCGGAAGCAAATTATTGTTAGGGGGTCAGAAACCTATGGTGGAGGTCCACACCCGGGGGGTCGGGGGGGTATGGAATACCCCCCAGGGGGCAAGGGGGGAAAATTTTGAAAAATAAAAGCCTTAAAACGTGTTTTTAGGCTACCTGAAGAACATTTTTCTTCAAGCAGTAACAAAGAAAATTTACAATTTAACAAAGATGCTACTCTGTTCATTGTAAAAACATTATAATAAATAATACACATGAATCTCAAACAAACATAAAATGAAGTACTGGTGCCCAGATTTTACTAAAGCTGCCAGCAATGAGTTGCTGCAGACGACATAGAAGAGTAAACAAGCTCTAGGCCCTAGGGATTTATGTGTTCGCGTAATTTCGGCAGGCTCTGCCCCTCCCCCTCAAAACTGAATTAATAATAAGTTAAATTAAAATTAGCTGCTTGATTATAGTTAATCACAAAAGTAAGACGGTAGGGTATAACCAAGTAAGTGTGTCCACTGGGGATAATTAATGGTTCACACAAAAAACATTACAAACATTGTATTGGCACAACATAAAATTACTAAGAAATACAAAACCTTTTTGATGAATTATTGCTAAAATAAGTAAAATCCCACACGAGAATCTCAAGATATTAGCCTACTACAAGTTTACTAGATTTAATTAGAGTTAGTTAACTCTCCAAAATTCCAATACGACCATGAACATCAATTAAATTAATTATTACTTTTATAAGGTTTAGTGAGTATTAAGCCCCTTCATAATAAATGTAATAGATTATTATTAATAACTAAATTGTTTATCTTTGTACTTATCTTCAGTAACTGTTATTAGGCCTACTTATACTTTTCTTCTTGGGCCGAAAAAATAAACGTATACAGTACGGAATGCTTTATATATTTTTAAATTTTTTATATGAACTCAGGCCCTTGACCCCCCTGACCCTTCCTAAAATTTCAGGGGGGTCAACTGACCCCCCTGACCCCCTGGTTCCGCCGCCACTGTACTCATCACACCACTTTTCCCTCCACGTTTAACCGCCGGCCGATCCAAAAGTTTCCTTGCTCTCCAGTCCTCAAAATTCCAGCAAACCGTAACCATGTAGTCGGCCGGGTTTTATTTAATTCCCCAAATGGTGTTTTTACAGTAGACTCTCGCTCATCCGGACTAATGTAGCGGACGTCCGGTCCGGATTACAAAAAATCCGGACTATTGAGAGGCGAGCAAATACACAGTACTGTATATAGACGTTTTTTCAATTTTGTTCCAGGTCCACAGTAATGATAGCCGGGCATAGCACTTCCACCATCGGTCGAATTTTGTTCCAGGTCCACAGTAATTATAGCTCGGGCATATGCACTTCCACCGGTAATAATTTTCGGCCGAATTTTGTTCCAGGTCCACAGTAATTATAGCCCGGGCATATGCACTTCCACCGGTAATAATATTTTGGCCGAAATTTGTTCCAGGTCCACAGTAATTGTAGTCCGGGCGTATGCACTTCCACCGGTAATAATTTTTTCGGCCGAATTTTGTTCCAGGTCCACAGTAATTATAGCCCGGGCATATGCACTTCCACCGGTAATAATTTTTTCGGCTGAATTTTGTTCCAGGTCCACAGTAATTGTAGTCCGGGCATATGCACTTCCACCAGTAATAATTTTTTCGGCCGAATTTTGTTCCAGGTCCACAGTAATGATAGCCCAGGCATATGCACTTCCACCGGTAATAATTCATACCGAGTTTTTTTCATTATTCGAGGTAGTCTACTGTACTGAGCCACTAAAAAAAATCACGATTGCCGATCCTGACTACCAGGAGTCCGGACAAGGCCGATCCGGATGAGCGAGAGTCTACTGTATTTTCAATCATTGCACCCCAAACATTCCAGTGGCGACGAAGTACGAAAACGACTCAACGTGTGAAAAGTTTTTAAGTGATTTTAAGTGACAATCGAAGTGCACCGTAGAAAGGTACGTGTGTTTACAGAAAAATTCGGTCAAGTTAATTTCGAACAGTGAGTGTGAGTGTGAACATTAATGCCGCTTGATGAAAACTTTATTGATAATTTTGGAACTGTATTAAATTTCAAGATGTCGTTCATCGGTGCGATCAGTCCTTTTGATAATTCAAAAGAAACGTGGGACTCATACATCGAACGATTTGAGTTGTTTGTTACATGTAACAATATTAGCAACGCTAAAAAAGTTAGTACGCTTTTGACGGTTGTCGGAGTGAAAACTTATAACCTGCTAAAAGACCTATGTACACCAGACAAACCTGCTACTAAGAGCTACGAGGATATTGTACGGATCATTAAGGGACATCTACATCCAAAACCATCTTTTATTGCCGAAAGGTACATACAAGTTTAGCCTACGAACACAATTAGAGCACGAATCAGTCAATGATTACATTGTCAACCTGAAAAAACTCTCTGTCAACTGTGAGTTTAAGGACAAACTACCAGATCATCTTCGGGACAGGATTGTTTGTGGGTTGAGGGACGACGCCACCAAGAAGAGGTTGCTGGGCGAGGAAGATCCACGTACAAGAAGACAGTCCAAATAGCCACGTTGATGGAGTTGGCAGCGAGAGACACCGCGGCCCTGACCTACCAACCCACGGGGGGAGGAAGTCGCTTTCACAACGTCGCTTCGAAGCAGCAGCAGCGGAAGCCGTGGCAGCGCTCAAAAAGTGAAGTAAAGTGCTATTGTTGTGGTAAATCTGGTCATTTAAAAAGTGAGTGCCCTTTTACAAGTTTATCTTGCAATTTTTGTAAGAGGAAAGGCCATTTAGAAAGTGCATGTGTCACAATCTAAATTTGTATTTAATGATAAGCGTAAAGATGGACATAAGAACTTTACACCTAAATTTACCTCTGGTAACAAGTCTCATAAGTCTAAGCAAAACTATGTAGAGAACACAGGAAACAATGACAATGATGATGATTATAGTGATTTAGCTAACTTATTTTCCATAAATGATGAGGAAACTAAACAGAGGGATAGAATAAAACCTATCACGGTTAACCTTTAAGTAGAACATACTGTATTGTCATTTGAGGTTGACAGAGGAGCATGTGTGTCAGTAATTTCTGAAAAGTGTTATAACGATAATTTCTCTGATTTTGAATTAATGCCCACTAATTTGGTTTTGAGCTCTTATACAAACCAGCCAATAAAACCTGTAGGAAAACTTAGCCTAAATGTACAGCATGAAGCTGAGCATAAAAAGTTAACATTGTATGTTGTGTCTACAGGGGCTAATCCTCTAATGGGAAGGGACTGGATTAGGGAACTAGAAATATCAATCCGAATCCCTAAAGAATATAGTTTGAACACGGTTGAAAAGCTAGATCAAAAACCTGTAATTGTCATTAAACTGTACAGTAAATTTCCTGAGGTATTTACTGATGCATTAGGCTGTTACAAGGGAGATGCAGCTAGATTAGAGTTGAAGGAAAATGTAATTCCTAAGTATTTCAAACCCAGGCCCATACCATTTTCGATCAAAAGTAAAGTGGAGTCTGAGATTGATCGATTAGTAAATAATGGGTTTTTAACTCAAGTTAGCAATTGTGAATGGGGAACTCCAATTGTGCCTATTTTGAAAAAGGACGGAAGTATAAGAATATGTGGCGATTTTAAAGTAACGCTCAACCCCTATTTAGTAGTAAATTGCAACCCAACTCCAAGGATTGAGGACATTTTTAATAATTTACAAAAAGGGGAGACGTTTTCAAAAATCGATCTTTCTCAGGCTTACACTCAGGTAAAGTTAGACGTTGAATCAAAGAAATATTGTACAATAAGTACATCAAAAGGATTGTATATTTACAACTGAGTTCTATATGGTGTAGCATCCGCTCCAGGAATATTTCAGAGTATAATGGAACGCATTTCAGCTCACATTCCCGGCGTTGTTCCCATCACTTGTACCAACCCTGCTTTATACTGTATAACAATTTTGTTTAATTATACCTATAAAGTGTTACAAATAATTTTTCATACAGTTACCTAACAATGTACATGTTCTCTCACTGATTTGAGAAAGCAAAGTGGCCAATTCACTCATCAGTGAGACAATGTTAACATTGTCTCACTCTAATTACTTTGTCTCACTCCAGATTTGCAACGTGAAGGCACGGAATAGTGAGCGCGTAACATGCAGGCAACGTCGTATGCGCGCGGAATACGTTGGCAGCACTGGCTGTAAATCAGCTGGTCAGCTGTTGTACTGTTGTATTTGTAACTTCACATTAAATGTTATATTAAAAGTTCACTTCTGTGAAAAATAAGGTTATGTTTCTCCACAAATTTATTTGTTTTATGGTAACTGTAGGAAAAGTATAATGTGCAACTCGAGTGCAAAGTACAATTGCCTCACTCGAGAAACCATTCCTCACTCGCCTACGGCTCGTGAGTAAGGGTTTCTCTCGAGTGAGTCAATTGCTCACTTTTCTCACTAGTTGCACAAATAACTAGTTCACAACAGCCTCATTTTTTAGATTCATATTTATTAACGCCGATAGCTGATAACCTTCACAATTCATGTAATCTACAAAACAGCAACGGCACCCTGCCATGGTTGCCTCCCCCTTAGGACAGCCCTCTTCTCTTGTCTACTCAAACCTACCTCAAACTGTGTTCATTGACAGTGAAAAAGTCAAGTCCCATGAATTAAAGCTGCACATTAAATAATAATACTGTTGATAACGTAGCTACTTAACAATAATACCTAAGTTCTTAACAATTGTATTGAATTGACATCTTTTAGCCACACAAAAATATGAGAATACGTACAGATCTCTTAGAATGATGAACCAGAAGAGGCTGATTTTTGTCACGAATCTCGATGCCCTTTCGCATGTAGTAATCAATGTAAGTCATCTGAAAGAATATGATTGAATTACAATTTGACTCATGTTTTCTAATACATAAAGAGAAACTATTTTCTGTACTATCTTATACTTAGACATCAGTAAAAAAGTCAGTTTTTTTGTTAATGTCACACACTAGTCTTTGACTGCTCTTAATTGAAACCAGCATTTTCAAAAATTTAGTCACAGTTCTTTTTCTTACTACTGGATATTGAAGATTTAAGTTATTTAAGTTATTCAATATCCTTTGATTTGTTTACATTACAAACTGTTTTGTGACGAAAGTCACATCATCAGGTCAATCCTCGTTTAACGGTTCGTTAAATACTCTTAAAGTTTATACCAAACACAAAACACATAATATTTACAAAGTATTTACAGTTATTTTTCCGAACTGAGACAGAAACCATCGCCATGCGTGCACGCTTACTTTGAGCCGGCCGCGACTGGAGTTCAACTTCAGTCACAGCCAGCTCGATGTAAACGTGCACGCATCGCGATAGTTTCTGTCTCAGTTTGGGTATAAAACTGTAAATAGCTGGTAAATATAATGTGTTTTGTGTTCGGTATAAACTTTAAGTGTTAACAAACCTTTCAACAAGGTTTTACCTGATGATGTGACCATCGTTACGAAACCAGTTGTCATCAAACAAAATCAAAGGATCTTGAACAGGTAACAGTTTATTTAAAAATAAAAATTTAACCCCTAAAGAAAGCCATAAATTAATTATGTTTTTCTGTACCGTAACAATTATTGAATTCCATATGTTTCACCGACCTAGTTTTCCTGCATAAATTATTAAAAAAAATTAACAACATCACCTACCTCAGTATCATCAGCACAAGTAAATGTGCTCGTAGGGTTCATTGAGAAATCAATATCATCAATAGAGTAAACTTTGTTGTATCTGCGTGTCATGACCCACTGTCCAATCAGGTGTTTCTGCACAACCTCCTTCCATTGGTTGCCACTAGTTTGATGGATTACATCGTCGCTGAAATTTTATCACATGAACAAGTAATATCATTATACCCTTATCAAACACATCCCTGATATATTTTCTTACAATTAAATACTTAATTTTAATTAAATCCCTAGTTTAATTTATTCTATTGAAAGGTTTTTAGTAAAATTATTTGAGAAAATTTTAGTTTACAACCTTTAATTAGTAGTAATGCTAAAATACTGTTGTGCAATTGATTTAGAGAGTATTATTGTAATGTAATTAACAGCAAATCTATGTAATGTTTATTTCTTTGTTCACTGATTGTGTCCAGATCAGACATAACATATCCCCTAAAATAACACATTGTATGTCCTCACTTGTATCCATACATCCATGAATTGATAACGCTTGTAACAATTGTTCAACCAGTAGATTCGTAAGTCACGGTTTTTAAAAGTAAGGTAAAATACAAATTAGATAGAAGGATGAATAAGATCAGATTACTCGAGTAGGACTGATTGGTCCCGAAATATGAATAAAATATAACCAACTCTCAAAGTAATGATATTTAAAATTTTTAAATAAATGTACTTCTCATTGTTATCTAACGAAGATCCAACCAGTGTTTCGATCTATCACATTGCCATGCACTCAACATAGCAACACTCGTGGCGCTGCCTACGAATTGACAGGCAAAGCTCTCTCAAAACACTTAATGCTTTTTACCATGCAGTTGGCATTCTGTGTTATATAGTAGTATGTTTTCTGTGACAATACTCACATTACTTGAAGGGCTGTTTGTTTGGGTCGGAACAGCACAGAATCAAATGAGTCGCACCTTATCTTCACACTTCCTTTTTCGGTAAAAATCTCACTAACATTCCCTGGCCATATTTCTAACCTAAAGGCAAGAATTTACATTAGGGAATGCACCTTTATATTTTTATAATAATAATATAGTCCAGGCAAATTAGATCAAATATAGGGTGTGCTCCCCAAAAAATCTTCTAAAGCTGGAAAGTGTTTTAATACCTTTTGCGGGTCCCAAATAAGACTCCTGTGAGTTTGCGACGGATTTTGACGTCTGCTTAAGTTTTGGGAGACGAAAAACTATGAAAATTTTGCACTTTTTTCAGTTTTTAGCTTATAACTCCTTTTATAACCTTTTGGCCATGTTGATGAAAATATCCCAAATTTGAAAAGCTACAGCGGCTAAACGGCTCTGCCGATTTTGACGCATTTAACACCAATCAACGCGAAATTAAATGCACTAAAAGAAACATTCGATCAACATTTTTCTTAGGATTCGTTATTTAGGAGTTATAAGCGAAAAACTGAAAAAAGTGCAAAATTTTCATAGTTTTTCAACTCTAAAAACTTAAGCAGACGTCAGAATCCGTCGCAAACTCACAGGAGTCTTATTTGGGACCCCCAAAAGGTATTAAAACACTTTCCAGCTTTAGACGATTTTTTTGGGGAGCATATGTCTAATTTGCCTGGGCTAATATTATTTATATTAATAATTTTTATATTAAAATATGTAACTTCTGACATCAAATTACGATCTGTTTGGTTTCGCACTTGTAATTTTATAAGCTTGGTTAACGAAATTGTTAATGTAAATCTATTTAACACTCTAATTTTAATTAGTTTGATCATAATTCATGATGTAACAAAACTGTAATCTATGTATATTGTCACTAGATTCATTGAGTTGTGAGGACTCAGGATCACAATTCACAGATTTACTCAAGAGTTAGTAAAAGACTGTGGTTCGCCATCCATGTACGAGTCAGCTGAGCCAGCTCAACATTACATGAGTAATCCACATGCCGAAATGACTGCTATTTACTTTGTCTTGAATAAGTTGTACAGCTAAGAAACAGTAGGTATTAATTTAATGATTTTAAACATGTTTACAATGGTTTTTATAATTTTCCCTATCATCGGACTCTGGCGCGTCCTGTTTGGTCGGATAATCAAGACACTATAATTGTGTAAACCGTACCTCATAAAAGAATTGTACTCACTGATCACAGGGAAATTCCATCGGAACCGGTAGTCCACAAATCCGCTTATCAAACTAATGGTTTTAGCAGTGCCAGCATAAACTAAATCTTGTGTCATCACACTACTGCTGCATAAACCATGAACTTGCTCTGCTGAAACTTAATTAAGTCATACCTACCACCAACCCATGGATGACAAACCTCTGTCTCTAACTCACTCGGGGTAAAACTGATATCAAGATTCTGACCAAGAAACTGATTTCGGTATTAGTCCTACTCAATATCTTTATTTTTGAAGTGTACTCACTGATGTTGGGGAATTGTCTGTGCTCCATTTGGACTGAAGTGTTCTCTCACAATCCACTGGAGCTTCAACTCACTCTTGATTTTGTTGAGGAGAGAGTTGTAAAAGTGTCTACTTTTTTCCAATGAATCCTTTGATCTATAGACAAATGTTACTTCGTGTTCCTCATTGGTTACTAAATTGATGCTGGTTACTGATTCGACCTAAAAATATAATGTCAAATAAAATGTATTCAAAAGAAAATTTCTTCTACTTATCTGATAGTTTTTTCTGTGGATTTTTTATGTATACACACACACACTTTTTTACACTGACTCTCCATCATATGGTGTGTTGAGACCACTCTACAGCATCGTTCATTCTACTCACAATTATCAAATGCAAATTTAGATTATCAAAACTTATCAGTGCCAGCATAAACTAAATATTGCAGCTTCAGTCTATTTATCCCTCCCATATCTTTAGAAAAACGTTACAGATATATTAAAACTGCTAAAACAGTTAAAACAATACGAAGCTGACAGAACCTCTACCAAATAGGCTGAAGACGTGATAGTAAAGGGAGGGATCATTTACACAAACTAGCAACGCAGTGAGTGCATATCACAACCATACCCTACATTTCACTCCCCAATTCTTACAACTGTGTTATTTTTCATCTGCTTAACTATTAGCTGCGACATCAATTATAGTAAGTCTTTATTTGCGATAGGCATGTTGTGTCTAAAAGTTATCACAGAGTAATAGAGTGTTACACAACAAAGCAACAAAAGAAAGCGAATAAGACATTTAGAATCTATGCGCTTTTACAAAACATTATATCACAGACAATGGATGAAACCTCAAAGTATTATATTGACTGTGATTAGCCTATATACACCAAAGGTAATAATAGCAAACAAATATTACAAACACAATTTCATTATTTTATTATGTTTGCAGTATTTCTTCGAGTAATTTTTAATGTTTACAATAAAAAGGGGAAAAATAAATAGACCCAAATCATAAAATTAATTATTGCCTACTGATGTTTCTGGGTAGCCATTGAATTGAGTGAGTGGAGTGAAATAGAGTGAAGCGCATATGTGAGTGAGTTTGTTTTAACTTTAGTCAATAAACCTTAGTCAAACCCCAGACACCCTGAAGGAGTTAGATCCGATGAATGCAGAATGCGTTCATGTTCACTCTCGGTTGTGGACAAACTTAGGTTCATCTTCCAAAAACTTAGTCAGACCACAAGTTTAAGATTTGTATAATACTCTGTCATTGTTACAAAATCAAAATAGGGATAAGCATCGACAGTCGATGTTTTCGAAACACCAATATTAATGTTTGGTTACTAATGTTTTTGTTATGGTACATATAAACAGTTAAAATAACACAGTACAAAATACCACAGGTATTCAGTACAATAATAATAAATAATAATAAATAAATAATAATAAAACACCTGTGGTATTTTGTACTGTGGTACAATACACATGGTGTGTATTGTACCAGGTGGTACAAAATAACACAGTTTTTGGCCAAGTATTGAGATAACAATATTTTCCATATGTGGAGAGTACACAGAGCAGACAAAACACTGAAAAACATGGAAATATCAAAAAAAAATCTATGTTTAAGCAACATGGTGAGTCGGTGGCTCAGTCGGTCAAAGGCAGTAGTGTCGTGGGTTCGGATCCTAGTCACTGCCACTAACTTTTATCAGTACAGTTCACCTTTGTACTGTACCGGCTCACCCCTTGCTTTGCTGGATACGTTCCACGCACAGATCTGTAGTCTATGTGGATGGGCAAATGCAAGGCTAAAAGAGGCCGCCAACCTCTTAAAAAAAAGAAAAAAAAGACATCTATGGTTGACGTCGATGTTACCATGGATGGTGAATCGATGTTTGACCTATCAATGCTCATCCCTATCACCAAACATCCACACAATCAATCACAGGCTTGTTGTTGGCAAAGGTGTTGTATTGCCCCTCCCAACCCTAAAGTTGTTTCTACAGTTATACTAAAACTAGACTATGTAATTATTTTCTTGTTTACTGTACCCTATCATCATACTACTTTACCAATAATTAAGAATTACCTCTAGTTCATGGGGAAGGTACATTGTTACCCCATCAAAGATTCCTCCACGCAGTATGTCCTTGTGTTGACAAAAGAGCATGTTATCAAGCTGTCCTCTGTCTCCCACAGGAGAAGAAAATGTCACTTCGTATTCGTAAATGCTTGTTCCTTTCTCCAGGAGTATGGTGATACAGTTAGAAATGGAATCTTCCCTGCAAAAATAAAAGTTTAAATTTTTACTGGTAATTAAGAAACCAACAGATATGATATTAGGCTATATCATATTTTATCAGCAACATACCCTACTGAATTGTTAAATTATAAGTCAAACATTTTTTATAGCTGCAATAATTCATAAAACTAGGTATGATGAAAATAACATAATTGAACACCACTAACAATAGCTGTTACACCATTAATCAACTAGGCAGAAGATAAGCAGAAATAACAACCATAGGAAATATGGCAAAAAAACACACATTTTTCGAAGGCGGATAAAATTGTAGCTTAGTACATGGTTACGATATTGTATACTTAGGCCTAATGAAAATATAAGTACTAAAAATACTTAATTTTTAAACACAACAAATTGTCTGTATTTTTAAAACTCAGCCCAACTTTTCCAGGAATTATATATGGGGCCTTCCACATTATGTGACACTTAAGGAGGGAGGGAGGGAGGGGTTTTCAAGATTGTTACAGGTTACACACTAAAAGTCAATTTTTCCAAAGTTCCAAAATGATAAAACTAGTTAATTAACAAATCGTTTAAGGTAAAAAAAATTGAGAATCAGTAAAGTATTTTCTAAAATTGTTTCTTTATTTAAAATATCATAATTTTAAAACCAATCTTAAACCATTTTTTTATACTGCAGGAGAAAATTTCACCTGGATTTCGTACCCCACAACTCAGGGGTCTCAATCCCGGGCCCTCAATCCAATCCCGGATTTCGGGATTTGTCACAACCGATCCCGGAATTTCAGGTCGGGATTTGTCACAACCGATCCAGGGATCACAGGATTATATTATTTTATGATTTTAACTTTTTAGCCATTTTAAAATAGCAAGAAGTCCAGTGTTACACGTTTACACTGCACAATTTTTTCGTATTCCAAGTAAAGAAACATTATCACATGGAACTTTCATCACCCGTCTTTCTTATTTACAGTGTATACATGTTGATATGTCACTCTAGAATATAATAAATACATTTAAAAAAAAATCACGAGCAACCGCACTCGCATGCAGCCTAAATGTCTCCCTAATATGGAAACTAAATAAATCAAAATATAAAGATAAAAATATAAAATGGGAAGAATCATGAATAGCAGCGAAAATATTTTATTTTTACTGACAGCAATAAACCAATATAAGGTACTGTAAAACAATAAACCATCTGCTTATGTAGTTAGCGTGTGTATGAAAACGTAATTTGGGATTGTAAAAAAAAATATCACCACACTAATAACCAAATACAAAGATAGTTATAAACCCTATAGTTATAGATAGAAGTTATAGACCCGTTATAAACCCTATAGTTATAGATAGAAGCTATAGACCCTAAATTTAAGCAATCTTATTAATAAAATAATAACGGTGTGTTTTTAATTTTTAGCGCCTCAATGTTAAAAGGATCAGAACACACTTCTTGTCCCGGCAAAAACTATTTTGCCGGATCTGGCGACAATATATATAGTGCAATGAACTCTGAATCAGTTGTGTCTTAGGAACGGTGTTGTCAAGACCTCAAAAGTTGGCCGTGCTGTGTTTGATCCACCACAGAAGGCCGGGGCCACACGTGGCGGATCGTCCGCGCGGCTTGTGATCGTACGATCATAAGCCGCGCGACGATGTCCCGGCCACACGGAGCGGATGAACCGCTTCCGGTTGAGGTTTCCCAGCCTACGTACTGAGATTCTAACATGGTTTAATTCACTCGTTCTCGTTGTAGTCATGGAAGAAACACGTATGTTAGTTTGTGCATTAGTGTGGTGAGCTAGAGCCTAAGGCGAACCGAAATCATTGGGTCCATCATTTCATAACCGATAAACCATTTGTGTCAAACCTTTTACAAGCACATGCGAAACCATAGTTCGGAGTCTTTTTTTGTTACTATCGCATGTAGATAGCATCGTTTGACGAGCTACTTCAATTGCTTTGACCGCATATAACTAAGGAAGATATACTCTTGAGAAATGTACAACATGAGAAATCCCACATTATCTTTAACAAGTTCTATTGATTTGTCTGTATCGAACATTTTACACCTAGAAACCGAAATGCACAAGCACAAACTAAAAGAAAATCACTACAAATGCTTGAAAATGAGCTCCAACCGCGCGGACAATCCGTATCGTGTGGCCACTCTCATAAGACTACGTGTGTCATCCCCTCCAACGCGGCTTATGATCGCGCGGACAATCCGCGACATGGCGCGGACAATCCGCCCAGGTGGCTTAGGATCGCCCCGTGTGGCCACTCTCATTTGATTCAATGTGTTGTCGGACCACGCGGATCATCCGCGTGGTCCGTCCGCGCGGATGATCCGCGTCGTGTGGCCCCGGCCGAAGGAAGAGTACACCGCCGAAGTATTTGTGTTCATCCGATTCTGGAGAACAGACATCTCCATGGATCATTTTATAACATATTTTGACAGTTAAGGAATGAGGAAAATACGTTTATTAATTATTTTAGAATGTCTGTCCCCTCATTCGACTGGTTTCTCATGAACCGAACTTATGAGCAAATCCATATCAACATCGACCATTATGATATAGAAAACTAAACAGACTAAAAAAATTTACTAAATGGCAAAACATAACTAAATACACCACTTGGCAACTGCACTAAAAAAAACACCAGCCTTGCGGGTTGAACCACGACTGAGGAGTGGGGGCAGGTCCGGCTGTTTCGCCGGAACTGTGTTCATCTCCATAAAGCACAATGCCCCGCTACCAGCGGCCCGGCAAAGTAGACAATATGCGACGGTTTTGCCGAACGGGAGAAGTGTGGCCTTCCTGTGTATCTCAACTTACTCCGGCACCACCGGATCCCGTGTCCGGTGGTTTCACCAGTAAGTGTAGGCTATCCCCGGCCTCATTAAGAAAAAAGTAAACTTCATTTACCGATTGCCGTGTTATTTTTGCCACACGAATTGCGTTGTTTGCGTTTAATGTCAAAAGTAAAACTCAAAATAACTTATAGGCCTAATATAAATTAAGTTCTAAATATGTAATACCATTAAACAGATAGTAAATCCAATTTTTCTTAAAACATATATTTACATTCGTTCGCCTATTGAGTTTAATGATAATTAAATTTTCCAATCAAAATAGATCACAACTTATACCATTTTATATATGTTTATCGTCCTAAAAACAAACGGTATATGTTTTTCAAGTGCTATTGAACGTATTGTTATTTCTTTTCCGTAAGTAAAATTCCTCAAATTCACAAAAAAATATAAAAATAGGTTTTGCAATCCCGTTAATCCTGGGATTAAAAGACACAAATCCCAGGATTTCTAGGTATCAAAAATCGACTAGGATCCCGGGATTGAGACCCCTACCCACGACCACGTTAAAGGCTGTGGTTTAATAGATGTGCTGTCTATGCGGTTATAAGACACATGTCTTATGAAGTTTTGTATAAGCAACGTATCTGATTAAGGTCAGCCAACAATAGAATTAATTTATCATGATTGTCTTTTATTGCAAATTTCCTGTAAGACCTGGACAGATTTACTTTTATGTATTGATGTGCCCAGATGACAAAAACACCAACCATTTAAATGCATATATATGTATGTGTGTGTCCAGTACTTTTAGTGTGATACCTTGAGCAAAAATTGTCTGATTTTTATGACATTTTGTATAAACGTGTAAACCTACATTAATTCAAATAAATCCACATACCAGTGATTTTCAAGGAAATAGGAAATTCTAATCAGGCAAATGGAAATTTAGTTGGTCTGCAGGTTTTCTGCAGTGGGTGTATTTAAGAATTACAATTATGCACAGACAGGGTAAAGTGAAAGGACTCACCAAATCTTTGGCGGCAGCTCGAGAGAGGTCAAGGGCTCAAGAGGTGTCGACGGAGAGGGTAGACCTTCCATTGGGGTAGGCTTCTATAAACATATTTAGGTTTTTCATACATGAAGTTTTTATTTTATTCATAGGCTATTAATAGTTTTAAACTTCCTATTAGGCCATACTAGTTTACTAGATCCAAGTAAATTAAATATCAAATGCAAATTCAAGGAACATGTAGAATGGCTCAAAAAGTCAACAGGAAGTGTCAGATTCAAGGACCCAATAAACACAACACTGTTAACAACTTTTAACCTGACGTCTACATAAAAACTGCTGATCGAAGTGGCAGCCATAGCATAGAGCTCAACAAGGGTCAATTATGATTGGACAATGTAGGAAGGGTTCATTTGAAATGGAATATAAAAAAAGGGACAGGAGGAGCAAGAGAGGAGCAAGATTTGAATCAGTCTGGAAGAAGATTTGGAAGGCAACATTTTAGCGAAAATGGGTCACAAGGGTACTCAAATTAACTGGTAGAGTAAGCTGAACAAGAATATACTAGAATGTTTAAGATCCGATGGATATTAACGGAGATACGGCCAGAAAAGTGCCGTTTCCCGGAAAACGGAAAGACAACATGTTTACGAAAAAAGGGTACGGTAATAAGGGTATTTAAATTAACTGGTAGAGTGAGCTGAATAAGAGTATGCAATAATTTTCAAGATCCGTAGGATATTAACGGAGATACGGCCGGAAAAGCGCCGTTTTCCCGGAAAAAACAATGACAAATTATTTTATTTCAAAACACACATTTAGGTATCTAAATTGTGCGGGATTTTACGCTGATTGCTTTAGGTTGGATTGTGTTAGGTTAGGTTATCAATAAAATTATTACTAACCTGACCCAACCTAATCTAAAATAATCTAATCCAACCTAACCTAATCTAATATAATCTCATCTATAGTGTGATTGTTTACGGAAAGCGGCTAGCTGAGGTGTCGTGCTTCGAGCGCCGGGTGGCGCGAGCGCCGCGGCTAAATGAGTGGTGCGAGCGCCGAAGCCATAAATCTTGTAAGGGTATGCTTAATGAAGCAGAAGTGACGAGGTTAACATGAGCCTGTTTGGAAGGGCTTATCCTAACTCCGCGCGGTGGTCACTTCGGGTTCCCCGCGGCACATGTCCAAGTTCGGAGAGTCAGCTGTTATGTTAGGTTTGGTTAGGTTAGGTTAGGTTAGGTTAGCAAACGTTTATGCTATTATAATTAGGTATAAGAACGCTCTAAAAACACAAAGTTTTAAACAAGGTTTTAAAAGCTCGCATATACGGACACAATTTATCTACAACATGGATAATTTGACGATTATAAGTGTACATTATATACTTGATTAGCGCTGTAAAATCTGTGGCTGAAGGGCTCGCGCCACTCGGCGCTCGGACCACTCGGCGCTCGGACTACTCGGCGCTCGCGCTACGTAACCGCTGGCGTGAAGGGTCGACCCTACTCACACACACTCAGGCCTCACACAAACAGACACAAGGGATTAGGACGGACGTGGGACGGACCATTGTCCTGCCACTCGAGTCATCGGTGGCTCACGGAAATTAAACTATCAATTTTTTTAATTTTACGTTTGTTATAAAATCTGGTAACGCTTTTGACTTCAGCTCAAAATGCTTAGTAAAATGATACCAAACAATATATATTTTGCTTACAAAGTGTAAAAGCTACGAATATTTTAACGCGTTTTTATTAGCTAGCTACTTGTCATAATCATTTTGTGTTTGGACACATATTTCATTGAATTAAACAACAAATTTATTAACACTAAGAACCATTTTACTGTATATCTAACATCAAATGAATTGCAACTTTGAGGTATCATACAACAAATATTATATTTCTACTTAGTGAATAGGGGATCGGGGCTTTCAGGCAATTAGGACGGTGGTGAGTGTGCGTGCGTGAGTTGGGTCCCTCGCAGGTAGGGCTGAGCTCCAGCCGCACTCCGGTAAAAATCAGACTATAACCTAACCTAACCTAATATAATATATTACTAAACCCAACCTAACATAACCTAGTATAATATATTACCTAACCCAACCTAACCTTACCTATTTTTGGTCATTTTGGGGCTAACTCGATTTCCTGACGCTTTCCGGTCGTATCTCCGTTAATATAAATCGTATCTTAAAATCTCTTGCATATTCTTGTTCAGCTCACTCTAGGCCTACCGGTTAATTTGAGTAGGTACGCTAATGACCCATTTCCGCAAAAAAGTAGTTTTTCCGTTTTTTTTTCGGGGAAACGGTTCTTTTCCAAGGAAAATGACAGTCATTTTTTAATTCAGGACGTTATTCAGCATAAGAATAGTGGAAAAAATATAATTTTAGCGAGACGTCCGTGATCGATGTAGGCCTAGGCTAATTACCATTTGTAGATAGGCCTAGGCCTATAGCTTAATCTAGCTTAAGCCAGGGTTACAGGCTTTTGTAGAACATTATTTGAACAACAATCTACACTTATTGTCAAAAAATATTAAAAGTAGCCTACAAATAATAGGTACATAAAAAAGGAGTTTTTACGCCAGCAGCTTTTCCATCTGAAGTTAGAACTTGGTTCTTTTTGTAGGTTGCTCTAAGCCAGTTTAGCCAATTGGAAACGGCCTTCAACAAGGACAAAGAATCCAAAACTTGGGTCTATTAGCCTTCCTTCGAGTAACTTACAGAGTTTTAGCTTGGGCCTACATTATAACCCTACTTGAATCAACAACTAGCCTAAGTTACCTACTTACTTAGCCAAGGCTAGCTCATTAGTTTGATAGTTGAGATTAAGATGCTAGGCCTATTTGGTTCAATAATTTGTTATTTTGAAAAGTAAAAAAAACAGTAAGCTAAGTCTAGATTTTATGATGAAGTTATTAATTTAATTTACCTGAGCATCCATGTTTTCCTTTTTTGGTGGCAACGACCAACGACGACGAGGACGAGGTTAAGTTTTTAAAGAGAGAAGAAGAAAAACGAGTGAAGGGGTGAGTGAATGAGTAGAGTGATTTGATTATGGGTCATGGTATTAGATCAGAGTCTGTATCAGAGTCTGTCTGTCTGACTCCGATCCGTGCGAATGGAGTGAACCCAACTGTGTATTGAGGTCTTTGTCTTTGAGTTTGAGGTCGTGTTGTTTATTCTGTTTGTTAGGGACTGTGCAGTGTGCATCGATGAATCGTCGATTGAAATCAGAAATCATGCCTCAATGGCTCAATGATTATAATTGTAAAGTGACTTGTTTAAATGATGTTTGAAATATGCGTAGCTTGTTTTAAGCAGTTTTTTTTCTTTTTAAAAAGCTTAATTAGTCTCAAATATGGAAGAAATCACAAATTTGTTGTGTCACTCACAGTTTTTATAAGTAAATTTATATTATGATCCTACAAGTTATTTCTATAAATGTATTAGTCCAGGAGCTGAGGGGGTTTGAGCATGCATGAAAGTAGTACGCAATGTTATTGCTGATTGTTGTAATATGGACTGTGGTGATAAAAATTACGTAATAATAAAAAAGTAATTGTATAACATGTGTAAAAATTGACTATTTGAGTAGTTTTTTTCTGAAAGTAGGATTAATTTGTAAGTGTCGCAAAGAAGTAATATCAAATATCTTTGCTGATAGTTGTAATATGGACTGTAGTGATAAAAAATACAGATGTCGCCTACTTTTCAGGTGGTCGAGAACTTGGGGGGAGGAACACAAGGATGGCGGGTCGTGCTATTCATTGAAAAGACTCTATCTCGAGAACGGTACGGGACGGGACATCAGTCAAAACGTCGTTTTAATAAAAAAAAATACGGCCAATAGAAAAGGTTTTGAGGTACAAAGTTGTATCTTAAGTAATAAAAAGGTTATAACAAAAACATGTTAAACAAAATCTACATTATACATCTATTTTTTCAAAAATCTTTGGAATTGTTGATAAATAAAAGTGTAATTGGTAAATTACTCGACTAAATATTAACTGGGACATAATTGGGGCAACAAACAGTAAGAATTAAAACCCTAGCACGGGGGTAGCGCAGCATAATAAACTTGATCAATAAATTTAATTGACCTACCTTAGTACAGTAAGGGTTTTCTCTGGACCTTCCGCCCGACTTACAAAACCGATTTTACGATTTTGGTATGATTAAAAGCTTTAAAACATAAGGAAGAGTCGAATAGTATGCCTACCTAAAGAGGTAATTTTCTTAAAATTCTTTATTTAAAGAGGGCTTTTCACTCTTTTATCTAATTCATTTCTAGAGTTCACTTGCACCCATTTTATTGAGCTTTCAGATTTATTCAGAGATAGACCTACTGAATAAATCTGCATAAATGTTTAGAAGTTAATTGTAATTTAACATCTGATAATTTATTTGGATTTTTAACCACAGTCAGCAGAATAAAAAAAACTGAAATGATAATAAAAATAGATTTGATATAAAAAAGACAACTTGGGTCTTTCGGTAAGACCTGGATCCAGGACCGATTTCGCACTAACATCTAGGTTCACCCAGGTCTATAGTTTCCTGACACCCGGTAGTGAATGGACTTCGCACAGCTCTGTGTATAGTAAACTAAAATCTGGTAGTGAATATCATTATTTTTTCATTTAATCTAAGGTGAACACCATTTCCATCTGAACACGTAACTAGTAAAACATAGCGCAGTTAAACAACTAAGATACGTTGATAACCAATAATAATATCAACAAGCAAAAAACTATAATCAACAAAAATAAATACAGTGGAACCCTTCATATCCGACAATGATGGGAACGGTAATCGTATCCCGCGACCACGACAACACCCGTGAACATAGCTTGACTTGCTGTCTGCACGACTTCTATAATCGTATACCGCGACCACGACAACACCCGTGAACATAACTTGACTTGTAGTCTGCACGACTTCTATAATCGTATCCCGCGACCACGACAACACCCGTGAACATAGCTTGACTTGCTGTCTGCACGACTTCTATAATCGTATCCCGCGACCATGACAACACCCGTGAACATAGCTTGACTTGCAGTCTGCACGACTTCTATA